TTTTAATAGTCCTATTGGAATCATAGCTATGATTAATAGAGTAATAAATCATGGTTGTGATTCCAGAGACTATTTTAATTGTCCTATTGGAATCATAGCTATGATTAACAGAACAATGAATCATGGTTATGATTCCAGAGATGCTTTTAATAGTTCTATTGGAATCATAGCTATGATTAAAAGAACAATAAATCATGGTTATGATTTCAGAGATGATTTTAATAGACCTGTTGAAATCATAGCTATGATTAACAGCACTGTAAATCATAGTTATGATTCCAGTGATGATGTTAATAGTTCTATTGGAATCATAGCTATGATTAATAGAACAATAAAGCATGGTTATGATTTCAGAGATGATTTTAATAGTCCTGTTGGAATCACAGCAATGATTAACAGCACTGTAAATCATAGTTATGATTCCAGAGATGATTTTAATAGTCCTATAGAAATCAAAATGATGATTATGATACCAATGGGATCATATTATGATGTTTAGGGTACTTGTCAAATCATATTACGATTCGTTATGATGCATACAGGACTATTACATCATCATATGAATCATCGCATATGATTCCATAGGCTGGATTCCTGTGTTGGAAGAGAGGGCCAACCAGTCCAAAATTGCAACAGCCCTTCAAGTGTTTCTTCTTCACCAGAAATACCAACGTAAAAACAAAAACATTTCTTGTCATGCTTATCTAAATGTAAAATATACTAGTACTTTCCTCCCAAGAATTTCCCTTGTTCATTCTTGAATGAATTACCGGTAATCGTTTCATTTTTCTACCCTATCCATCCCTCCTAAAATCAAACACCCCAATGTTATCTTCCAGGTGAGGGCGCTTTGTTTAAGGTGGGAGTTACTGAATACTTTGCAGGCATCTTCTTCCGTGAAATGTTCTCAATGCTGATTCTAGACAAACATCACTTTGAATAATTGATTTAGGCACCTTAATTAACTTAAGTGTACAGAGAGACCACATTTTTTAATATTTTTTTAATGTTGAAGGAAGACCTCAAGGACAATTATGGTACCTCTAGTACTGAGCTCATCCAATTTCTCAAAGAACTCTGCAACTTTTGACGTGCTCTCATCTGTTGGGTCATACTTGAGTAGTAATCTTAGTTCTGATACTTCGGTAGTGCTTTTGGCAACTGGAAAGACCAGCTGTTGCACTTGAGAGTGTCGCTGGAGAAGGTCAATCACACCTGTGCCCATCACACGTACTGAATCCAACCTCTTCCTGAGATCATCCAGTACAGTAATACGCCTAGTGATAACCTCATATGTTAACACACATTCATAGGCCAATAACCGGTTTGAGGGGGTTGCTTCAATATGAGGAAACCCAGCTGAAACAAGGATGTCTGTGATGTTGAAGTCGCCATCCAAAGGGAATTTGCCCAGCTCCTGGTCACTACAGTGCACAAGCTTAAGAGTAAAATAGTAATAAGGCATGAAAAAATCACCTTGAGTAACAAACCTTCTATAAGCCCAAACTTGAGTAAACATTGAAGATTTTTAGCGTTTTGGCTGAGTTTGTGCTTTGGGAGTTGTCTATTGTTTCTAGTCTGTCATTATACAGCATTCTTGTTCAGCACTCGTGCAATGACTGCGCTTGGCTGACTTCGGAATGCTCACCAAGAAGATAATGTCACAGTTTTTCAATGACCATGAAATTCAGAGTCCGGGTAGTTAGTTAATCAATTGTGGCCCTGAAAAAACTTGAAGGAAAAAAAACTACGAATTTTTAAGAAAATGCTTTTTTTGTGAGAAGGACTCTTAAACTCTGACAAACGTCAACAAATAGCAAAAACTATAATTTCTATATGTTTTCTTTGCTCGAAATCACGCGCATTTACAAGGCCCTAAAGCGTTTTGCTGACTTGCAAGGACCCATCTGTTATAACCATGCCCAAAATAAAGGGATGAATCTCATAGTTTATTAGATATAATCGTGTAAAGTTTGCTTATCATTTTCGCATAAATGTTGACCTAAATTTGGAAACCGCTGAATTTCTCGAATTGGGTCTTTGCAATTTTGGTGAAACTCTGTTCAGCGGAAGGCACTAATGCGCACTATGTGTAACAGCAGATTTTCGACTCAGACCTCAAAGGGGCGTGGCATTATAAGCACGTGACATTTACTCCGATCGCCAAAAATTTTGTGTTATATTGTACATTGATCTATATGTTATCCATTCGATGTGTTAGACTTACGATAAAAGTAAAGGTGGGGATACCAGAGAGCTTCAAAGTGGGATGGTACCCCCCCAAAAAAACTGGGTCGAGTCACCTTCATGCCATTGAAACTACCTCTCATTAAATCCTGCATTAGATAGAAGAAGTAGGCTGTTGTTGGGCCACCAGCATCAACTCCTAATTCTAATGCATTGGAGCTCAGGAACTGAACATTAAGGGGACTCTGCAGCTTAAAGCTTGGATTTTTGTATTTCCTTAACACTTGGGCTTTTCTCTCTAGAGATGTTCTTC